CACAGAACGACTGACGGATGGGCTCTCTCCTGCAAAAGGGAACTCACGCGACATAGTTTATGGCACCAAAGGTGTTGGTCAGAAGGCCCATGTGCTTTACTTTGGCCAGCAGAACATCAGGGTTCTTCAGCTTAACGTAGTCCACGAAATTAAATTCTGTTTTGTAGTTCGAAGAAAACTGAACAGCGGCAAACTGTAAGAAGGAAGAAATGCGATGTAATACAAACCTTTTCTCTTGTCTGCTCCAGTCTCGACGTCTTATCCAGGACCTGGGCAGCCCAACTCTACCTCCCTGCCTCAAATCATTCTTTTGAAAATAAACAAACACAAAAATAAAATTAAATAAGCCTCTGGCCCTTTATGTAGGGCTGTCTGCTGAGCTCCTGATCCCTGGTCTGCCTTCCTCACCAACAGAAGTGGCTTCCAGGAGCCTTACCTCGGCCAAGTGACCCTACTCAGTAGGATACAGTTGGCTGGGCCAAAGGCAGCCGCTTGACTGAGGCTAGGCCAGTAAGAATTTGTTCTCTGAGATTCTGGAATTTGCAGTGGGAGGGGTTGGTTGAGAGGAAGGTTAAAACAAGTAAACAAGCAAAAAAGACCTCCTGAAACTTTAACGTGTGAACTTAAGAGCTTTCCACAGGCCCATGTGATCCAAAGAAGCTGAGGGAGCCATTCTACAGAGAGAGAGAGAGAAAAGGGAAGCAAAGGTCAAAAAGAAACAGAAATGAGAACCAGAGGAAATTCTAGACACTTTCTCTTCCTTGGATCTCGTTCCTTCCAGAGTTCTGGTTATAGCTTCTGGAGACACCTCATACTGAGATTTCCTTTTACGCCTTCAGCGAGCTTGGGCAGGCCCTGTTGCCTATAAGCAGCTGCCCTGACTCTATTTACCTGGTAGGAAGTGTTGCTGAGTTTCTTCATCACATCCTTCATGAATTTCAGAATGTTCTGGAATTCATCTTGCCGCAAGCTCCCCGAGCCATCAAATAGAAACACCAGGTCTACGTTGCCCTTGAGACATTCTGCAGAAGCCAGACGCAAAGGGCTTTGGTCAGTGTCCCTGGCGGCTGGCCTGCCTGTGCTGGTTCCCGCGGATGGGCAGTGGTCCCCGCTGGGCCCCCAGTTCCTTACCCTGATAACCGGGGCGCCCTTTCAGCACAGGCCCCTGCAGGTTCTGCTGGAAGAGGTAGCACCGGCCACTTAGATAGATATTCTGGTCGCATGTCTGAGACAGCCCAGGGTCGCAGGTCTGAAGGAAGCAAAGGTAAAACAGTTTCAGCTTCCCCCTGCTGTGTAATCTGGGCATCATCAGCCAAGAACAAAAACCTTCAGGGCGGTCATCCCCTCACCTCACTCCCTATGTCTAATTGGTTCCCAAGCCAAGGTAATTGGGCCTCCAGGTTTCTTATACCAGTATCTCCATCCCCACTACCAATGGGTGCCAGTGGGTGCTTACTGCGTAGGCCCTAGAGGGTAAAATCTGAAATCCTTAGTTTGGCATTCATATTGTTTACAGCTGGACACCCTCCTACAGTTCCAGGCCCATCTCCTTCCATTCTCAATCACATATTCCGTGTTTAAGCCAAATCAAATTACTCAGTATTCCCAGAATACACAATGGTGTTCCTTTCATTTAGGACAATGCTTCCTGCCAGACTGCATTGTCTTGAAAGTTAGGACTCATGTCACGGTGATCTGCATATCTGAGTCCCCTGCTCCATGATAACCTGCCTAGGACAATGCTTGGCATATAATAGTAGCTAAGTAAACAAGCTCCGATTAAACACGGGGCCACTATTTCACTCAGTCTTCTATTTCTCACATAGCTGTTAGATGCTGCTGGACTGAATTGTAAAGAGCGATGGACTTAGAATCAAATGGGAGTTGGATCCAAATCCTGGCTCTACTTCTTTAAAACCAGGAGTCCTTGGCCAAGTCCCTTTGGTCTTGTTTCCTCATGTGTAATATGTGAGTACTAATCCTTAACTCGCCTGACTGTCTTGAGGATTAAAAAAGATAAAGCAGTGGTTTTCAAACTTTAAGCATTTCTGTACCACTTCACGATTTCTACCATATGGTATATCATTCATACTACTATTTACTTAATATTTTATTTACTTAAAAAAAAACACCAACTTTAGCTTCATGCTAAGCAATGCAGTCTAAGAAATCATTAACTTTATGTGTTTGTTGTATATTTTTCTACTAATCCATTAAATAAATATGTAACTGTTAAAACATTGAGGTTTATGTACCACCAAAAATCATCCTGTATATCAATGGTTATAGATACCTAACATTTGGAAAAACTTAGGTAAGTAAGGTCCTGAAAATAGCTGGCTCTTAATTTGTTCTCAACAAACACTGATTGACTTTGAATCTCTCTAATGCATTTAATCTTTTATAAGATCTTTTTTTTTAATCCTTACCCAATGATATGTTTCTTTATTTATTTCTTAAAGAGAGAGGAAGGGAGAGGGAGAGGGAGAGGGAGAGAGAGAAAGGTCAATGTGAAAGAGAAAATCGATGGGCTGCCCCTAGGGATTGAACGTGCCCAGACGGGATCAAACCTGCAACCTGGAAATGTGCCCTGACCTGAAATCGAACCCGTGACTCTTTGGTGCACAGGACGACGCTCCAACCAACTGAGCCACGCTGGCCAGGGCCTTCTATATGATCTTTAATCCATTTTTTTCTTTCTTCTTGTCAATCTGTTCCCTAGCATTGAGCTTCCCAGGCTCTGATATCACACTACACAAAATTCTTACCAAAAACTTTCCATTTGTGGGGTCTGTCGCCAAGGTCATTCCCAAGTACTTAGAGGTGTAGTTGGAACCTGTAGGCACCATAATATTGGTTTGGAGGAAAGCAGGCAATCCGGGTGTGGTGGGGCCAGCCTCGATTCCCCTGCGATGCCCCAATGCCACTCCTCCCGGCTCCCTCCCCGGCGACTCACCACTCAGGCTCACTGGCAGGCAGCGCCCAGCGTCGGGCCGGCACTGATAGAGGCTCCCTGCACTGCTCCCCTCGCCTGGCGCTCCCACGACAACCCTGATGAGAAATCTCACCTGTGAGATGGAGTTACCCAGGTCTTCACCCACCCACTCCTACCTAATAAGGGGCTTCTTACCCCCCACCAGGTACCCCAAAGCAATGCAGCCATTGTCCTTCAGGCCCCACCTATTCTTTCCTCCCTATCGAATCCCGGATAAATCATCCAATGCTCCAGAATTCTAGAAAGTTAAGGATTTGTTTCCATCTACAGTCTAGAAAAACTGAGGCCCAGAGGATGTGCCAGAATGTTACATTGTAAGTTCAATCAATCAGTCATCAATTCGAAAGTAACTTATGGCATAGCTACTACGTGCTATGTGGAGGGGGAGCTCGCTGTCCGGTTGGGGAGACACTCGGGAATCTAGGAAGAATTGCCACGTGTTTCAGGGGCTGTGAGGTTCCCTTTCCGTTCCGCATATGTGGTGCTTTAGTGGTGGATGGTCTTCATCCTACTACCCGATGGCCTTGCTCCTGTTTCTGAGAAGTTCCCCCACGGGCTCCCTGTGACCTGCTGGTTTCACTGGCCAGCCCCAGGGCTGGCATGGGGTCTCCTCCTCCCGGCCTCTGCAGGGCAGGGAAAACCTGGGGCATCAACTCACTCGTTTCCAACCTGCAGGACGCGGTACCCAAAATGCCTCCCGGCCTGTGGGAAGGACAAGTTTTGCACATGCCGCACATCCAGGTTGTAGCTGGAGGCCAGGGCTGAGGGAGACAAAGTGCACATCAGCCAGGGACCCCCCACCTCTCCCCCACGCCCTGCATGCTGATTGGCGGCCACCCCAGTGCCCCAAGGGGACGGGTAGACCCCCAAGGACCCGCTCCCTCCTGACCAGGCAGCCTACACCCAGGCAGAGCTGGGACCAGCTTCCTTGGACTCCCCTCCAGGGCCTTAGCTCAGGGAGATATGGAACCGGGACTCCCTGCTGCCCAGAGCGCTGGCAGGCCCAGGCCTGGGACGGGCAAACTTCCCATTTGGCCTCCGTGCAAAGAAGGAAGGATGAGCAGGCAGGGGCCCCTGAGAGAACAGCAGGCCCTAGGGGCCCCCTGAGGAGACAGGGGTGCCCCAAACAGGGTGTATCTCCCCACACATTCATTTCTACCTCAAGCCTGGGGCCCAGGCACGCAGAGAACTCAAATAATGAGCCTCAGGCTTCCTCCCACAGGCTCAGGGTTTCCAGACGCCCTGATCCCTGTGAATCTGGCTCTTCACTCCTCCGATGGCCCCGCACTCCCCACCCCGCCAGGGACCAGGCTCTTCCTCAACCTCAGAGCTCAGGTTCTCCCACCGCAGGCAGCTCAGGCTCACCTGCAAGCCCCAGCCCTTCCTTTCTGGCCCTGCTCTCTTCCCAGGCCTCAGGCTTATGTCACAGCATCTTAGGATGTCAGAGATGAGGCCCCACCCTTTGTTCAGACAGAGAGACTGAGGCCCAGAGAGAGGGACGCCTTGGCTGAGATGGCACTGAGAGGCGGTACCGTAGGTGGGACCGGACCCAGCACAGCTCTAGGTTCCCATTACCACCTACCTTTTTCAGGGGCCCACTCCCTCACCCCTCTCACTGCTGCCATCTTTGTCTCCCTCCCCTGTCTTTTCCTCCATACCTTGCCTGTGCTTTGGACTCTGACTTTCTTTCTTTGCCCCCCTCTCCCTCTAGAGCCCTGGGCCCCACATTACCTGTGGCCAATTCCACCTTTAGAGCAGCTTCTCCTTGGCTCTCGTCTCGTAAAGTCTGCGGTTTCCCAATCGCAGACATGTCCCTTCCCCACCATGCCTCTCTTGCTTACCAAAGAGAAGAGGCCCGGACAGCAGCAGCCTCATTGCCATGACGCCCGAGGTCATCTCCAAGCGGCTGGCGGGACCTGACAGGCTCAGGCTCAGAGAACCCTTAGGAATTGCTGCCAACCTAGACAGGGCCAAAGAGGGAAATGATCATGCTCTGGCGCTTATCGAAATGGAACTTTCTCACAGAGGCACCAGCCTGATGACACTGTGGTGGCAAAGGAGGACTTGTAGGGGTTGTGAAACCACAAGAGTTCAGAGAGGAAGCGTAAACGGGTTAGAGACATTTCCTGTGCCTGCTTGCATTTTCACATCCACGAGCAAACAGCATAGTAGCCAAGAGCCGCTGCGTCTCTGTCCTTCACTGACACATGAACTTAAGACTCTTCAAAGCTCAGTAAGGTCTGGTCAAGTCAACATAAAGGGACAGCCTTCTCTTACCATTGAAAGATGCCCACAGTACACTGTGAAAGAAAAAGACCAAGACACAGAACAGTACGTTTAGAAATTCATTTTGATTCTAAAAAATAAAAATAATACCCACAGAATGAGAGAAAATATTTGCAAATTATAAAGCTGATATGGGACATGCATCCAGCATATATAAAGAACTTTTGCAGCTCCACAATAAAAAGACAACCCAATTTTTTAAGTGGGCAAAGGATTTGAATAGACATTTGTCCAAAGATGATATACACACGGCCACCAAGCACATGGAAAGATGCTCGGCATCATTAGTCTTAGAAAAATAGAAATCAAAACCAAAATAAGATACCACTTGGCATTCATTAGGATGGCTGGAATAAAAACAGAACAGGAAATAGCAAGTGTGGATGTGAAGTGGAGAAACTGAAACGCTTGTACTTGGCCGGTGGGGATGTAAAATGGTGAAAAACAGTTTGACAGTTTCTCAAAGCAGAGAAATGGCAAACGCAGAGCTACCACATGACCCAGCAATTCCGAGGCACAGAGGCAAAAGGACTGAAAACGGATGTTTGTGCAGAAGCATCCCTGAATTCTCACAGCTGCTTTACTCATTTTAGGAAAGCTGGGAACAACGCACTGTCCATCAGCTGATGGCTGGATGAACAGAATGTGGTTTGTGGCCACCCAATGGAATAGTATTAGGCCATCAAAATGAATGAAGTACTGGTGCGTGCTACAACATGGATGGACTTTGTGAGCATTATACTAAGTTAAAGAAGTCAGGCCCGGCCGGGCGTGGCTCAGCGGCTGAGCGTCGACCTAGGATCCAGGCGATCGGGGTTCGATTCCCGGTCAGGGCCCATGCCCGGGCTGCGGGCTCGATCCCCAGTCGGGGGCGTGCAGGAGGCAGCCGATCAATGACTCTCTCAGCATTGATGTTTCTATCTCTCTTTCACACCCCCTTCCTCTCTCTGAAATCAATAAGATATATTTAAAAAAATAGAAGAAGTCAGGCACAAAAGGTCACATATTGCATGATTCTATTTAAGTGAAATGTCTAGAATAGGCAAATCTACAGAGAGAAAGCAGATCAGCGGTCGTGAGGATGGGGGAGTAGGGAATGAAGAGTGGCTGCCGGTGGGCATGGGGTTTCTCTTTGGGGTGATGGAATGCTCTGGAATTACACAGTGGTGATTGTTGCACAACTTTATGAATGTATTAAAAACCACTGAGTTGTACACTTTAAAATGGTAATTTTAGGATATGTAAATTATATCTCAAATAATGAAAAATAGAAGTTGAAATCATGTGTGTATGTGTGTGAGTGTAAAACAAGTCCAAAAGCACACACAACCAAACTCCAAACAGAGTAAGATTTATACATTTCTGTACTGCCTGAGAAAAAGTATTTCACAATGAGGATGTGTAATGGGTAGTTTCGAAAAAATAAAAATATTAAAAACACAAGAGAACAGAACAACTGAACTTGTTTATGGGAAAGGGGGCAGGACACTGGGATTTCCCCTGTGTAGTGAGGACAGCCTGCGCAACCCGCAAGGCCACTTCCAGTGTCACCGCCCTGGGCAAGGTTTTCCAGGCAGATTACTTATAATCTACTGCCAGGCAGCTACAACCTGACAAGTTGGCTCCTGGGAATTAGATAATGTCAGATAGTCTTTTTCAAATTCAATTAAAAGCATATCATTCAGACTGACTTCATTGAGTCTCTGTACAGCAGTTTCGATTTACATCTAACCTAATTCTTTTTTTTTGTTCTGAAATTACAAAAATATACATTTTAAAACTCAAAAGTTATAGAAGTGGGTGGAGTAAAAAGATAAAGACTCTCTTTTAACACCCACCTCCTGCTCCTAAATCTCAAAAGCAACCATTGTTAACAATTTGGAGCCATACTATGTTCATGACAAAAAATTATTAGTTCTAGTTAACCATACAGGTTTGACCTGTTTGGAAAAACTGTAATTGTCTCACCAGAGAACATCTAACTCAGAGTTAACAGTCAAATCAGCTATTTGCAGTATGAAGGGTTTTCTTTAGGCCATCTTCAAAGTTTAGATGCGCCCTGACCTGTGTGGCTTCCAAGTCAGGGCACGTGCCCAGCAGGGGGTGTGCAGGAGGCCACTGATCAATGTTTTTTGCTCTCACATGAATTTTTCTCTTTCTCTCTTTCCCTTCCTCTCTCTCTAAAAATCAATAAAAATATCTTTTTTTAAACACTTTTGGATGCTTTAATTAGGGTTTAAGTTTATAGAAACATTTTCAGTAGCAACACCTGGGATAAAAGGAATTCAGGAAAGCCCTGGCTGGATTGCTCAGTGGTTAGAGCATCAGCCTGCGGGCTGCAGGGTCCGGGTTTGATTCGGGCCAAGGGCATGTCCCTCGGTTGCAGGCTCAATTGCCCACCATGGTTGGGGCGCGTGTGGGAGGCAACCGATCGATGTGTCTCTCTCACATTGATGTTTCTCTCTCTCTCCCTCTCCCTTCCACTCTCTCTGAAAAGCAATGGAAAAAACATCCTCAGGTGAGGGTTAAAAAAAAAAAAGAAAGAATTCAGGACATAATCTCAAAGCCTCCACTGCTTGGATTAGAGTTTATGTGTATGTTTCAGCAGGTAAGCATACTCATTTACATATATATCATGTTCTATTTAAGGGGAAAAACCATATATTTTTCCCCTCCTGATTGAGGACAATAAAGCTGAAGAAGCTACAAAGTACAAATAAGCCCCAAAGATTCTGGGAATTAGTCAGGGGCTCAATACTCAGAAGCAGGTATTTCCCCTGAAGAGCTGGGCTGCAGAGATCTCAGGCTGGGACTCTGTGGGGATGTCCTGAGGCAGGATGTGCCCCCGCCCAACACACACGCAAGGGGCAGGGGCTGACTTCATATCTCGGGCTGTCAGCTCTGAGGGCCCAAGGCCCCTGAAGGGCCTCTCAATCTCTTTCTTTTGTTTGAGCCTCCATCAGTTCTCAACAGAACTGCGGTTGCCTTCCCCCAGTTGGCTCCTCCTGGAGCAGGTTCTACCTACCAAATTAACCCTGAGAAACCTGAGCATGTCTCTCTTAGACTTTAAAACCTCTCACAATTCCCCTTTTGCATTCACAAAATCAAGTCCAAGCTTGTTGGCCTGGCTTTCACGAGCCTCATTACCTCTCCATACCCCACACTCTAACCTACCAAGTCTCTCACGGGTTCAGATAGGTCAAGTATCTAGAGAGGAGTGTGTGAAACTCGAAGTGCTGGCCACACTGGCACCCCTTCTGAAGAAAGCAGCTTCAGCAGCATGTCATCTTGGCTACATCAAATGAACAGTATGAACCGATCCTGCTGGGGAGGTGATGGTGGCTGACGGGACCCGAAATCAATGCCTAAGACTAAGGTAGCCATGGACAGACTGAACCCAACAGATACCAGCTCTCTTCAGGATGCCTTGGTCACTCTACTTATTATGAATTGTCCTATACAGAATCAGGAAAATGGACTCAAACATCATCTCATAGTTGAGTGACAAATGAGGTCCTAGACTGGGAAGTCCTGGGCGACACAGAATCTGTGCATCTAAGACAGAGCCAGGGATCTGGATGCTTCAACTCCTCTGTGTCCTTTGTCAAGTAAAATTATTTTAATAATGTTTTATTTCTCTGTAGATTTATCTGAAAGCAATGAGAGAGCATTTTCTCTTGCTTCCCTAAGAAAGTAAACAGGACTCTGTGTCCAGCCATTTCTTCCCCCCTGCCCATCCCCTGGTCCGAGATGCCATCATCTTGTGCCTCCTGCATTTTGCAGCACTCCCCCAGCTGGTCCACCGCCTCCAGCCCTGCAGCCCATTCTCCACACGGCAGCCAGAGGGCTCCTTTAAAAACATGTCAGACCACATCACTTTCTTACTCAAAATCCTCCATTGGCTTTCTCTTTCACTCAAGCTACAATCCAAAGTTCTCAGTGTGGCCCACAAGTGTCTTAACCTACCGGGCATCTCATTATCTCCCTGGCCTCTCCCACCTCTAGCTCACTCCTTTCCAGTCACTCTGATCATTCCAGCACACCTCTGCCTCAGGGCCTTTGCACTTGCTGCTCTCTTGCTTGGCTTTCTCAAGAAACCCTCATGGCTCATTCCTTTATCTCCTTTCGATCTCTGATCCTTGACACTTAGAGATTTCTGCTTATACTTTCTAATTTATTTATTCATCCAATTTATTGTCCATCTTCCTACTAGAATGTAAACTCCACTGGGACAGTAGTAGCATTTGTTGTCATTCACTGCTGTATCCCCGGTACCTGACACAGTGTCTGGAGCATAGTAACTATTAACCGAGTGAGTGAATGCTTGCTTGGGGCTGTCCTTCCCTTAGGAGAGTTAAGAGCCTTTTTGCTTTTCAAGGCCTAGACTCTTAGAATGAAAAGGCTGTATCTCCAAAACGGAAAGGTGAAAGGAGTTAAAAGAAGAGGGCTGAATTCCCAGAGCCCTCCCAGAGGAGTTTGTTTAATAAATATATAAAATTAAATAATAAACTGGGAGCAGGTAAGCAATCATTTGGTTCCTTCCGAGAACGTAGAGAGGACCGGCCGGTTATACAGAGGGAAGACTGAATACAGAGGCGCAGGGCTGCAGG